TGGAGGGCCTGTGTGTGCCCCTCCCCCCCCCCCCCGCGGGGGTGGTGGTGGGGGGGGGGGGGGCTGGGCTGGGCTGACCAGACATGGGCCTTGGAACCAGTACTGGAGACTAGGGGCCTGTTGCAGTTCATCACTGACTTGTATGAGAATGTCCCACGATTCTCCTTGGGTCTTAGTTTCTTGAGTCCCAGACAGCAGACTGAGTGGGTTAGTGGGACCATTGCAGTGGTTTTCCAACTCTTCCCTCTACTGACTCTACTGGGATTCACAGAGGCACCTTGGGAACATTTCATATAGATCCAAAACAGGCAGAAATGCTTGTTTATCTGTTGATGTGGAGGGTGTGTGTGGCTATGTCCCTGGGGATGTTACTCACACCTTAGTCTGTGGCTACGGGTTGCTTTGGCAGCCCTGGTTATGCACATCAAGTGGGATGTGCTGACCCCTACGCCCCAGGTCCTCCCAGCATAGTGTTCTGTTGCTCAGAGGTAGGTGGTGGTTTTCTTCTACAAGACAGTCTGACTCCCAGCATCCCCTGCTGCGCTTGCAGCCTCAGCCACACTCCTCACATTCAGTAGCCTGGTTGCCAGCTGCATCTTCCCTCCTGGGAATACTGTGTTTCTCCCCATGCCTGCTGCTGTGTGACTGTGGGGGCTGGGTGGAATGGCCACCGTGCTCAGTGCCAGCACTCTCCACGCAGGTGATGGTGTGGAACCTGGACACAAAGGAATCTGTAATTGCAAACCCCATGAGGACAATCACCTGTCACCAAGATGTGATCCTCTCCATGTCCTTCAACACCAATGGCAGCCTGCTGGCCACCACCTGTAAGGACCGCAAGATTCGGGTTGTCGACCCCCGTGTGGGGATTGTCCTCCAGGTTGGTACTTTAAAGGTTCGGGGCTACTTTAAGAATGGGGCAACAGCACTGTCAGCAGCTGTGCTGAGCCTCTGGAAACAGCATCCCTAGCCAGCCTCAGCATCGTGGTGCTGTGGGGGATGTTGAGATTTGCTGCGGTCACTCTACAGATGAGAAAACTAAAGCCAGAGAAAGGGAATAACTATATAGAGAGGTGGGCTGTGAACCTCAGAGCTGGCCACGGTCCCTCAGCTCTGTCCCTGGCCAGGGGTCAGGAGCCACCTTGAGCCAGTGCTTTCTGCTTTCTAAACCTCCGTTTGCTCAGAAGTGCAATGGACCATTCATCCTTCCTCACTGGAGCTAATAGGACAATTCAAGTGTCCTCTGTCTCTCTGCCTCACATGGGGCAAGTGCTCGCTATGATTCTCAAGAGAGCGGAGTGGAGCAGGGTTTGATGGCATGTGTTGTAATCCCAAGATAGGAGTGAGGGTTCAAGGCCAGCCTGCACTACATCCTGAGGCCCTGTCTCAAGCAAAGACTGGAGAGGGCGGAGGTTTGGCTGGCTTTATTCAGAAGCAGCTCTCAATAGAATGGGGAGATTTCACTTGAAGGAAAGGACTCAGGTCAGCTTCTTGAAAGGGGTGTGCCAACTAGTTCCACGGGTAATGAAAGGAGACCTTACAACCAGGGCTTAAGGAGCCAAGTGGGGAGCTAGAAATTCCACCCACAGCTGGGAGTGCCCTTCCCACAGCTCTCCAACACTGACCACACGTATTCCTCCAGGAAGCCAGCTACAAGGGGCACCGGGCCAACAAAGTGCTCTTCCTGGGGAACCTCAAGAAGCTGCTGTCCACAGGTACTTCCAGATGGAACAACCGGCAGATGGCCCTTTGGGACCAGGTGAGTCTCCATACAACCGCACCGTCACTGTGCAGCCCAATGCCTTCACTTATCTGGGTACCTTCTCATTCAACTTCTCCCTCACAGTCAGCAAACAGTAAGGATGGGGGCTGGGAATGACTCACAGAGATGGAACAGTCCATCAGGCCAGGTAGCCTTGTGCATCTCACCATTCAGTAGAGAGGTGAGGTACCAAGAGAGCCTCTGGGAAAGGGTGAGAGTAAGACAAGGGATAGCTGGAGATAAGTGTTGATAGTGGCCACTGTGGGTGGAGGGTGAACTGTGCTGTTCTGTTAGGTGTTTTGAAGTGCTAAGGACAGAATGCAGGGCCTCCCACCTGCTAGACAAAGCAGTGTCTCCTTCATTTGTTAAATTTAGCTTGGAGATGAAGGCAGGAGGATTCAGAGTTCAAGGTCATCCTTTGCTGCATATTAAGTTCAACTGTGGCATGTAAAAGCTTCTTTCCTAGAGAGGCTTAGGGTACAGGGACAACGAGTTCAAGGCCAGCCTCAGACCACCTCCCAGTTTTCAATTTTAAGAGACTTGTAGGTGCAGCTCGGTGGCAGAGTGTTTCCCTAGTATCATGAGACCCTGGGTTTGATTTTCAATGCTGGGGGAAAAGCCAGGCATCATGCTTATAATCCCAGGCAGAACTGTTTTGAGTTCAAGGCTAGCATAGACTATAGAGTGAAACCCTATTTGAAAAAAAGTTTGAAAAAGCTTGTTAAGGCCAGGTGGTCGTGGCTGCAGTGCACACCTGTAATCTCAGCACTTACGAGGCAGAGGCCAGCCTGGTCTACAGAGCAAGTTCCAGAACAGCAAGGGCTACACAAAGAAACCCTGTTTCAAAAAAAAAAAAAAAACTTAAGAGCAAAAATGCTGACAAAGATGGCTCAGGGCCTAAGAGAACTTGTTTTTGCTGAGGACCAGGGTTTGGTTCCTAGCACCCTTGTGGCAGCTCACAACTGCAACTCCAGTTTCAGAGAGTCTGACAACCTCTCCTTGACTCTTGGGCATTGCATGCACATGGTATACAGACATACATGCAGGCAAAACACCCATATGCATAAAATAAATAATTTTTTTACAAAAGGCTGACAAAATGGGGCAGGCAGTACTGCCTTTAAAGTATCATTTCTACCAGAGAATAATTCACAGAACCAGGTCTTGAGAACCAGGATGTCTTTTCAAAGCATGCTTTCTGTCTCACATACCAGCACACACTCATGCATGCACTCAGAGCCCTGGGCACACACTCATGCACGCACTCAGAGCCCTGGGCAGCAGTTTGAATCTCAGCTCCACTGGAGATTCCAGAGTGACACTCATGTCTTAATGGTCTCCCTTCCCTTGCAGGACAACCTTTCTGTGCCCCTCACAGAAGAGGACCTGGATGGCTCCTCGGGTGTGTTGTTTCCCTTCTACGACTCAGATACCAGCATGCTGTACATTGTGGGGAAGGTCAGCTTGGCACGGTGTGGGGTGGAGTGGGGTGGGCAGCCCTCTGGACCCCCGATACAGGAGGCAGAAATATCCTAAGCTTAGCTCTGTGGATGCTCAGAAAACAACCTAGGGTCCTTGGAGGTTCAGGGTAGAGACAGACACTAGTGGCTATCGTCTTCCATCAGAAAATACCTTCCCCTCCCATGCTAGCTCCTTAGGGCCACCTGAAACCAGGGCTTTGGTGTGACACCCCCCCCCCATCCATCCTAGCTTGTTCCTCCCAAATTCCTGGTCCAGGTGGTAGTTCTCAGCAGAGGAGTCTTTGGATTTGAAGCAGAATAGATCTTCATGGGTGGGGGTATCTTATATCTAGAGCCTCCATTCCCTACTCAGTATGCCTACTGAGTATGGCACCACCAAGTGACTCTGTCAATGAGAAATGTCCCCAGGGCTAAGAGCCATAGGATGATCTCTGAGGCCAGACATCCTGACTTTCCCAGTGGTTATCACGTGGGAATGTTCCCAGGGCTTCTGCACTAGAGGAACATGGGCAGGCTGGGGTTGTTGGTCCCTGGTGTCCCTGAATGAGATGGGTTCATCAGCCTTACTACTCGCTCACAGTGAAACACTGATGGCCCAGCAATGACCCTCTTGGTTCCCCTCCCCAGGGAGATGGGAACATCCGGTACTATGAGGTGAACCCTGAAAAGCCTTACCTGAGCTACCTGACTGAGTACCGCTCCTACAACCCACAGAAGGGGATCGGTGAGTGGGACTCCAAAGCCATGTAGGGTCAGAGCACCAGGGCTGGACCTTGGTACTGGAAGACATCAGACAGGAAGGGGGTGGCAACGGGACTATAATGTGTGGGTTGTATCCATCTGTTTGTTGATGCCTATATCAACACCAACATCAGACTGGATGAATTATGACAAGCAAGGCATGTTGGGCTCTTGGCTTTGGAAGTCCCAAGAGTCTGCATCTGGTGGTGCCTCTGTGTCACCAGATTCCTAAGGCAGTGCAAGGCATTTGGCAGATGGAGGCAAGAGGATCAGGAGTTCAAGGTCATCTTCATCTATGTAACAAGTTTGAGGTTGTGGCAGGCTTATGTGAGACCTTGTGTCAAATAAACAAAAGGAAGAAAATCAAAAAAGACTGTAGTGGCCATATTAGGAGCATTGTAGGAAGCCAGGTATAGAGACACAGGTCTGTAATCCTAGATCTGAGTAAGCAGGAGTTTATGACCAGCTATATAACAGTAAGACCTTCCCTCAAAACAAACAAATGAGGTTTGTTGTTGTGGTACACACCTGCAATCTGAACACTCAAGAGATGAGAGCAGGAAGATCAGGAGTTCAAGGCCATGCTCTGCTACATAGCAAGTTGGAGGCCAGCCTTGGCTCCATGAGATCCTGTCTCAAAAATAAATATGATAGAAAATAATCATTTAGGTTCTAGGCCTGTTAGGATGGAAGTGGGGAGCTTTGAGTAGAGCAGACCATCTTCAGGGTCCGGCTAAAATAATTAAACATTGGGGTCGGAGAGATACTTAGTGGTTAAGAGCACTGACTGCTCTTCCAGAGGACTGAGATTCAATTCCCAGCACCCACGTGGCAGGTAACAACTGTAACTCTTAAGATCTGACACCCTCACACAGACATGCATACAGGAAAAACACTATTGCACATAAAATAAAAATAAATAAATCTTAGGGGAAAAAATTAAACCTTGAAGGTAGAGGCAGTGCCTAGTTGTAAAATCCCTCAGCTGTTTCCCAGCTCAGGGCAACCTCAGATAGGTGATGTTTGGGAGCTTGACTGTGGGGAGATGACGGGGGAGGGCAGTCTCTGATCGCAGGTGTGTAGTCTTCCTTTGTCCTACCCACTGAGTCTCAGTTCTAGCCCAGCCAGGATTTCTCATCTACTCTTGACCATCTGGCCACAGGTGTCATGCCAAAGAGAGGTCTCGATGTGTCTTCCTGTGAGATCTTCCGCTTCTATAAGCTGATCACCACCAAAAGCCTCATTGAGCCTGTGTCCATGATTGTACCCCGGAGGGTAAGAGTGGTGAGACTGTCTGGTGGGGAGTACCCACCTAGAACACAGACCCCAGATGTTGGAATCCCAGGCCCATGCTGTGGGGGGGAGGGGTGGCTGAGGGTGACTCTTGCAAGGGAATGTCCTTCTCAGGGTCAGTACAACAACCCTGGAGCCCAGAACACTGGATCTCGTCCTGCTTCTGCCCCTGAGCTGCTGTATTGCAGAGAGCCCTTGTTTTCTGGCCCGTTGGGCTCCTTGCTCACCAGGGGTGAGGCGAGTCAGACTCCAAGGCTCAGCACTGCCCTCACTGTCCCCACTTCTTCTGCAGTCAGAATCCTACCAAGAGGACATTTACCCGCCCACGGCAGCAGCCCAGCCCTCCCTGGCAGCCCACGAGTGGCTCAGCGGAATAAACAGAGGTGAGCAAGGTGGGAAGCAGGCCACTGGGTAGGAAAATGGAGTCCCAGAAGTCCCAGGTGGCTGAGGGGTTTGGCCTGGATTTTAATTTGGCTGTGCCATAGAGGAGAGCCCCTTGTTAACCAGATCCCAGTAATTGTTTATATATAATGCCAGGAAAGCAAAGTCTTCACCCACCTAGTCCCTAAACTCCTGGTCAAAAGATGTCACTCCATAGAAAAACTGCCACTGCCATCCACATTGCTCCTGACCCTCACCATTTCTTCTGGGATTATTCTGTGACCCAGGATTCTCTAGGCAACAGACCACTGTCTGACCCAACTCTGCCCGGCTCCTGGGCAGGCTCCACATCTCCACAGCACCCCTGCTTCACTTCATGCATCCCCAGAGCATGGAAGCCTCCTACGACAGTGCCACTTCCCAGTTATGTGTGACCCTTAGGCAGTCCCTGCTCACCCCCTAATCTCCTCTCTGTGTCTGCAAGACTTTTCTGAAGATGTCAGAAAATTTACTGTGCTTAATAGAAGACGGGGCTGGAGAGATGGCTCAGAGGTTAAGAGCACTGACTCTTCTTCCAGAGGTCCTGAGTTCAATTCCCAGCAACCACATGGCTGCTCACAGCCATCCGTAATGAGATCTGGTGCCCTCTTCTGGCTTGCAGGGATACATGCAGACAGAAAACTGTGTACATTGTACATAATAAATAAATAAATAAATCTTTTAAAAAAAATAGATGACAGAAGACACTGTGGTTGGGTCTCTCCTTACAAAACAAAGCCAAGGCCAGGCAGGGTAGCTCATACCCTTGGGAGAGCTTAGACAGGAAGATTGTGGTGAGTTCATTCATAGCCACCCAAAACTATGGAGTAAGACCCTGTCTGGGGCAAGGACAAGCTGCATTTGGAGAGCTCAGGTACCTGGAGGCCACTCCAGTGTGTGTGCTATGCTGTTCCTACATGCTGGCTTCCCTTCCCCACATGTGGACTACACATGTTAGTACCTGATTGCCCTGGCATGGGGCCATGCCTGTCTCTAGTGCCTGTCTGTGTCCATGCCCTCCCCCATGTCTGTCTTTCATGGCACTTAGTCCTCTTCACAGTCTTCGACTTCCCTTTCAGAGCCTGTCATGATGTCCCTGAGACCTGGCTCTGAACTTCTGGACTCCCAGCCACTGCCTCCAGAGAAACCTCTCTCCAATTTTATGTTCCAAGTTTCACCCCAGCCCTTGGAACCTATGGCACAGCTGGTGACAAAAGATGGCCATACACATTGCTCTCTGCTGGACGAGAAGGCATCAAAGTGGGCCACAGAGCAGCGGCTGGAGGAGAAGTCATGGCTCACCAATGGCTTTGATGTTTTCGAATGTCCCCCACCAAAGACAGAGAATGAGGTGGGAGGGGACAGGGGCCTGTAAGATGGGGGGGCATGGTGGGAAGGGAGCATGGTGGGAAATGAGGCCAGAAGGCCAGCCTACTGCACTGCCTGGCCTGGACCTTAACTCAGTTAGCAAATTTAGTCACCTCATGGGCTCTGAACAGTGGCCACATACAAAGATGATGGATGTGCATACAGTGGTGGGGACAATCTATGAAATGCAGAAGATAGGATTTGGTGCCATTTTGGCCCTGGTACAGACACTCTGGGATTTTGAGGTCTGGTTTTAGAGCTAGGGTGAGTTAAGCATCTGCTGTATGCCAGGCTGGTGTAATAGTTAACTTTCATATAGCTGTGGACAAAACGCTAAGGGAAACAACTTCAGCTTTAGTTTCCACACTGAAAGAGGAGGTACTAACACCACCACCCTGAGAGATGTCACAGACATTTTGAGGAAACAAGAGAGACCCTCAGAGGGTGCCCCACATCTAATCTGTTTGGTGCAGGGGTAGCAATTATGATAAGGGGTTAGCTTTCACTTCCCAAAGGAGAAAATGACTCTTGGGGCAGGTGAGGTAACTGCTTGTATTAGCGACTTTTTGTTGTTGTGACAGAATACTTGACAAATAACTGACGTTTATTTGGGCTCACAGTTCCAGGGCACATCCTCTCGTGGTGAGGAAGGCATGGCAGCAGGAGCTTAGGGCAGCAGGTCACATTGCCACCACAGTCAGAGGCAGAGAGAGATGAATGCTGGCACTCAGCTCACTTTCTTCTCATTCCCATTCAGTCCAGTACCCCAGCTCACAGGATGATGCCACCCACAGTTGGGGTGTGTCTTCCTCTCTCAGTAAACTAGAAACTCTGTTAATATTAACCACACAGTCCAGTGGCGGTGAAAACCCAAGTTTCTGTACTTCAGGCCCAAATACCATTTGCTCTATCCCTCGGGGACTTGGAAGGAGAAATGGGACACAAACAAATCTGTTTGAACTTCATTTATTGGATAAAGTGAGCAAGGATCTTGTAACCGAGCCAAGCAGTGACTGTCCCTTGATAATAAAGCCACTCTTAAGTCAAAATTGTGGCTTAGCCTTTGTGCTGTTGCCCATCCTGGCCACACAGGTGACCTTGCCCTCTGCCTTGTGCTTCCCCAGCTGCTGCAGATGTTTTACCGGCAACAGGAGGAGATCCGAAGACTCCGGGAGCTGTTGATCCAGAGAGAGGTCCAGACCAAGCAGCTGGAACTGGAGATCAAAAACCTGCGGATGGGCTTAGGACAGTTCTGAGCAGAGGTCTCCGCCATCCTTGCCCTCAGGGACAACACTAGGCTCTGTGGGGAGGTCCAGAACCAAACCACAGGTCCCCGAGAACAACCACTATTTCTATATTTTATACCAGAAAACAAAACTCTCAGTCGCTGAAAGAGATCTCAGTGGGACTTGGTGCCGCTTTCCTGTTGCCTTCTCATAGCTGCAGTTTCTGCCCTGACTGCTTTAGATTGCACCCTGCCTTCTACTGAATTCTGGTTTTAAGGGTTGGTGAGGAACTATGACCTCCCAGCGGGGGGAAAAGCTTGGTAGCAAGATGTGGACGGACTGAGTAGGTCAATCTGCCTGTGGTTTGCAACTCTGGTCATAGAGGGTGGTTTTGGTCAGTGGGCTTCATCTTAACAGATGGCCCCCATCTCCATTAGCCCACTTTGGAATATATACTTTGACTGCTAGATTATCTTTTAGAAGTTTGAAAACCATTGACCTGGCTTAATTCCCTCCTTCTATAGGCAAGGAAACTGAGGCCCAGAGAGAGACACACGTGTGATCTGTTTCCTGGCAGGGCTGGACTGAGGTCCTGTCCTTCTGGGTCTGTCTGGCAGTGCTGTTCTCAGTCCCCACAGTAGGAATCCATTAGTTCTGACCTCAGCTATGTCCCCACTTACTGGTGACCAAGTACTTCTCTCTCTGGTCTCAGTTTTCCCATCTGAACAGAGGGAAGTTCCAATGAGCTGCTTCCTCCGTAGCTTGCCACCAAATACTTGATTTTGACCATGCCTGTGGTTTGCTAACCTGGGCTTAATGAAGAAACTCAAGCTGGTGTGGGGAGCTCAATCTGAGAAGGATGAGTGAAGATTTGGTCCAATTCTAAACCACAGACAGGTGGCCAATCCCATCCTTCCAACCAGAATCAGCTAGATGGGGGTAGACCATAGGTGGAGGACCTCAGAGCTGTGTCCATGTCTGTTGACTCCAGAGCCTGCCACCTCCCAGAGAGCAGACACAGACTTCCACCCAGGCTATCAAAGGCCTCTGAGAGGCTGGGGGACCCCCGCACTGGAGGGGGCCAAGCCCCGTGGCCACCCGCCAGAAGGGCTCTTGTTGACTACACTAGGTGAGAAGTGGAACCAGATAGCTTCTGGTTGGAAAGCCTGCGCCCCTCCCTTGTGTGTCCTGTGCCCTGTCTGAGGCTCTGTCTCTCTTGGTGGTCAGTACAGCAGCCCAGCTAGTGCCTAAGAAGAACTGAGACAAAGCTTACTTCCAAAGCTTACCACACACACACACACACAGCCACACACACACACACACACACACACACGCACATGCACACGCACACACACTCCTCTGGACAGGCCAACAGTGTTTTCCCCATCACACAGGGTCACTCTGGATCTCAAGTGGGAATTGCAGGAGCCACTCATGTCACCTATTTACATCCCTCTAGATAGACATACTGATGACCAGACCCACTGCACTCTTCAGTGGAAAGTGTGGTCCTCTGGACAAGCTGCCCAGGTGACTTTAGCACAATGGGGATGGAGACACTTCTGGCTAGTCTCCTGCACCTGTACTGACAATGAAAGTAGGACAATCCCAAGACTCCCACATGGCCTTGCCCCTCGCTGTCGCTGGTATCTGCATACACCAGAGTCCTGTGCTCCTTGGTTTATTCTCCACCCATCAATCATTAGACTAGGATTTTATTCCCAACTCTGTTTGCCTTGTTTGTGCTCCTGAGAAAAAGGCTAAGTCCCAGGCATTGATGGGTAACTGGAGCTCCTGGGTTGGGGCTCTCTCATTGTGACAGTACATCGTAATTGGTAAAGCTCCCATCCCCACCTCCAACCCCATATTCAGAAGGCAGGACAGCCTCAGAGTGAAGACACCAGCCCAAAGCCACTGGCTGCCACCCATGTGTGGCTGGGGGTGGGGTCTCCAGAGCTTCATCATATCTCTGTACAACATTTCCCCCACCCCCAAGAAAAGCTCTCCCCATTGTAAGGGACCCAGACGCAGACCTCACATTCAAGAACAGGTCACAGGCGGCTATGAACAAATTTATTTGTTGTTTTTTTTGTGTTGTTTTTTTTTACATCTAGAATAAATTATTTAAATTATTTCATAGCAAGGGAGAGGGATAGGTAATTTTTATCAGATATTTTTTAAAGTCATCTTTTTTTTAAGATTGTGTTTTTATGTTCTTGAGTTGATGGAGCAACAGTGCCCACGAAGGCAGTGTCCACCCAGTGGCAAAGCAGCCCTCGTCTCTCTATTTCATGCCTTGGGAGCTCCCTTTCTGTTGACTCAGGAACTTTGTGTGGATGAGGAGAATGCTTGGAGATAAACAATTGGCTAGTACCCACCTTAGCTCTAGAATAATTCTGCTTCCTAGAACAAAACTTAAGGGCATGCCCTAGAGGGAAACAGGAAGTGAGAAATCTACGCTTTTCATATGAAACCGTGCCTGAAGCCTTTGAATGATTGTTCTAATGTTTCTTAAATTCCTTGTACCTTTGTAAAAAAAAAAATTAAAGAAATAAAAGTTAAAATAGATGCAGAATTATGCAATGGAAGAATATAGCAATCAACACTGGGTGGTAATTCCTCCTGTAATCCCAGCGCTTGGAAGGCTGAGGCAGAAGGATTGAGTTTCAGTCCAGCCTGAACAAAGAGTGAGAGACCCTGCCTCAACCAAAATAATAATAAAACAGCAAACTCAATATTGCAATGCATGGAGATTTCCCTTTGTTAATTCGTTCTACCAATACCAAATACCAGGTGTTTGGACCAGATACCCCTACTGACAAAATGGCCAGTAAGTGTTATCAGTCGTGGTTAAGAGAATGTGGGGGGCAGGATGGGGCATAGTGGTCAGGGGCATAGTGGTCAGTGGAAAAGTGAGGCTTCCAGAAGGAGATAAGCCCTAACACCAAGTGGATGGGTGGCAGTGAGCAGCAGCTATACCCCAACCAGAGAACCGCAAGTTCCTGGAAACAATGGGTAAACCACTCACCCAACAGGGCAGGAGGGATCGGAGCATCTCCAGGCTAGATGGGGTTTCCCGGAAATCTGTTCAAGACCCCAAGGAAGGAGCACTACAGGAAAAGGGAAACGTGACAGTGTGGGAAATACGAGGTACTTCAAGGCAGGCCACACCTTATCAAGCGTCTCTACTCGGCAGTTTGCCGAAAGCCCCTAGACCAGAATCACCGAGTGGGAAGCCCACCTTCTGCCAGTTAGTCCGTCCAAGGGAGCCCTTGCGCTTCTGTCCATGGTGGCCTCCAAAGGGCAGAGTAGACGGATGCTGTGCTGCGGATCCAGCCCTAGGCGGGACTAAGCATCGCTCCCCAGCGGG